ATTATAAAGATTATTTTATTTAAAAATAGTTTGTGCTTATCACATTTGAATTATACATTTATAAAAGTAGTTTGTACTTATAAAATTACAAGTAATGCAATTCTTAATTATACATAAAATCTAATAAAATTGTGTACTTATCAGCTGTAGTCCTGATTGTGACTGTCAATAGTGACCAGATTTTTTTTCCCCTCAGAGTATTATATTGAAGCCTTAAAGGCTGCAAAATTATGCTTCTCTCGGAGCTTTTCTCCACATACATTATCTTAGAATAACAGAAGTATTTCCTACATAAACAAATCACTATACATAATTTGGCAAACAACATATTTGTAGGTAGTGTATCAATGTATAAATAAATTAGAACAAATGCGCAAAAAAGCAATATAAAGAACAGAATAAAAGAATGAGGAAAACAATTCGAGGGAAGAGGGGAGTCTGGGTTTCCCTGCTGAAACTGCTGCCCCATGACCCGACCTCGGATAAAGCGGGAGATGGTGGATGGATGGAAAACAATTCGTATTACGCAAACATGGCATGAAGTTTAAGACCCGTTCCATCAACACAATTAGAAAGGAAGGTTTCCATGTCCTTCCTATTATGAAAAATAAATATAAATGGGTCATTTATATTGCCACTTTGACCCTCCAGGACCTCCCTGAGTGCTTCCTGTTGATCCTCAGCCTCCATCTGGAGAACAGCAGGTTCTGTCACCTTTCCATGAAAGAGGGAGTGATTCTTGCAAATCCAGCACACAGCACTGCAGAGGTCCCTCATGATGCGCAACTCCTATGACACTGGAAGTGAATATCAGGGATCAAATAAGTTAATCAGGTGCAGCTGGTAGTCAACAGGAAAACAACCTGAGAAAAATGAGGGACACACACCCCACTATTACACTTTGTAGAACAGTCAGTCACAGCTTGCCCACCAGGTCTGAGAACAGCTGGAGGGGCTCCAAGTTCGCTTTCAGCAGGTGTGAAGCTTCCTCAGTCCAAAAGGCAAACCTCTGTCCATGTCTGAGTAGTACATGACATCACTTACATTCAGATATTGAAACATTAAGTCTTGGTAGTGTTTCATCAATGGTGTCATTAATACCCATATATGCAAAACCTCATCATTAGCTGAATGCACTACCACTGATGAATTAATGGAATATCACCCTAAAAATAACAAAAATATAATATTCAGCCTCCTTGCTGGGCTTCACCCGGTATTCTATATCTGACAGAAACCTTCACTGCAAAGAAAGTGAACTTAATTCTGCATTTGAATGCATCTCAATGTAAAACACAATGCTTTACATACATACTTTTCCAGACCACTGCTCATCAGTTAGGTACCACCATTTCCTTATCTTTGGCATGTCAGACTGAATATAAAAAGACAAAACCCATGCATTCAGAATGTTTGAAGGAACACATTTCTTCATATAGATAACTATGCAACATTCTACAGCGTTGAAGAATTTCTACAGATGACATACCTTGGAATGAAATTCCGTTCTTTGCGTCTGAATCTACATGCATTTGGGCTCATAGTAACGTTGTCGGTTTAAACATCGTTACTGGGCACAAAGGGTAATGGAAACGATTGCAGCAGTTAGCACATCTGACTAGCTGAGGCATGGTATTTCTTCGCCAAATTGACCTGTGCAACTGTTAGTCAAAATCAAAAATAAAACACAGTGAAAACGATTGTGTATGCATTTATTGTCACGCCCTGCTCCGTCCGCTCCCGATGTGTGCCACGCCCCCTCATTATCCACGTGTGCTTTCCCGATCGTGCCCAGCTGTTCCTTGTTATGTCGGCTTGTCTTCTGTATTTAGTCCGCGTCTGAGTCAGTCTTCCCCAGATCCGTCATTAATGTTTGTAGATGTGCTTTCCCCGGTCCTGTCTTCCCGAATAAAACCCCGTTTGCTTGCATACTCGGCTTTGCTCGCTTGCTTCCCAGCTCGCTCGATCACCCTTCACAACATTTATGGGCTTTTGAAGGAGGGAGATTATTTGAATACAATTCAGCAGCACAGCAATTTGAGTCAGGCTAACTTACACTTACTGTATATATGCATTTGAGCGGCATGAAAACACCATTCAACTGATCAGAGTAATCCGCACATGAAAATAAATTAAGCTATTAACTGAAAGTAGTAACAACATAAGGACAAACTGTGTTTTAAAGCAGCCAAACAATAGCGAACAAAAAACCATTCCACTTCTAAACATAGCAAACAAAGAAGTTCCCATCCTTCCTGAAGAACTAATAACTGAACATATTTAAATAATTAAAACTGTGTTTACCATTCTACTATCCTTCGCCAATGTCATGGTCAACGCCACAGAAACAGCAATTAAACAACGGACGTGCTGCCACCGCTCGTGAGTAAAGTATTGTAAAGTATCCACCAAACTTTATGCGCACTTTGGTGGAACTTCAGTGATGTCATTTCCGGGCTCTCAGTGGACTTCCTGCGTGTCAGTGGACGTGAGTCTCAGTTGATGTCTGCAGCCAGACCCTTCTCGCCTGCACCGGCAGCGCAGGAAGGTAAAAATGGAGGAGAGCTGGGATAACAGTAAGTGGAAGGATGGAGAAGGTGGGGATTTAATTGATATTTGGGGAAATTAATCTGTTCAAGTTAAACTGGAAGGAACCTATCGCAATAGAATAGTATTTGAAATAATTGCCAAAGAAATGGCACAGCGCGGACACGAACGTGGCTACAATGCCAAAGAAAAATAAAGAGCCTGAAGTCAAAGTTTAAAGAGGCAAAAGACTCGAGTCAGCGCAGCGGTCATGGCCGCACAACGTGCCAATTTTACGACCAGCTTTTTACCCGTGTAAAAACATATTAATGTGCGCATGCGTGACATTTCGGAGGACCGATGCGTTCACATTACAGTCATATACTGGTCACTTGTACTTATGAATCTGAACTGTCAAGATAGACAAATCCGATCTGAGCAAAAAATCGGAATTGAACGATGTGGTTGGCAGTGTGAAGTTGGCCTAAGTTGGCAACACTTGCTTCTAATACGAGGTCCTGCACCGCTTCTGTGAAAAGGTGCACCCTTCCTGTAGAGTTGTTAGGTTAATAAATATGACGTAGGTGAGTGCGACATCTGGTGGAGGTTAGGCGATAAAGAGTTATTAAAGAAGTTACTGGTCGCTCTTAATAAAGATGTCTGTAACCTTATTAAAACCATTCTACATGGTGTCAGAAGTGGGGATATAATGGCTCAGGGACTTTGGCGAATTGATCCGCTTGTTTTTGACGAACATATTGCTGACAACTGGCGCAAATTTGAAAAGGAATGGCACATATACTGCTGTGCTGGGCTATTGGATAAACCGAAAAAGGTGCAGGCTTACACGCTCCTCAACCTGGCTGGTCCCGATGCAGTGGAGAAGTCTGAAGCGTTTGTCTATGAGGAGGGAGAGGATAAAGAGGATCCAGAAGTCCTAGTAAAAAAAGTTTCAGGATTTATGTCTGCCCGCGAAAAACATAATCATGGACAGACACGCATTCAACACCGCTTGCCAAAAGCCGGGTGAGTCGATTCAGTCGTACGTTTCCAATTTGAAAATTTTGGCAAAAAAAAATAATTTTGGCATCCTGCAAAACAAACTCATTCGAGACCGCATTGTCTGTGGCATCGAAAATGACAACGTTCGTAAACAGCTGCTACGTGAACAACACCTTACGCTTGAATCAGCTATTATAATATATGCATGCTCAACGAGCAATCCGATAGAAGCACAAGGGAATTAAAAAAAGAAGCTGAAGTTTGTGCCATACAAAGATGACGTTGTGCTAATTGTAATGGGCAACATTCCCCTGTGAGGCATAAGTGTCTCACATTTAATAAACGGTACAACAGCTATGGCAAGCTGAATCACTTCGCACGATGCTGTCGGTCTGCCCCAGTGCAGAGTACCGTCCAGTTCAGCAATAGGTCCAGAGGGCAGCCAGCAGGCAAAGTGCATGAAGTAGAGATTTCACCACTCTGACACTCACAAATGGTAGGGGGTATCTGAAAGTTAAAGTTGACACTGGTGCGAGGTGTAATGTCATTTCTAAACAGATGCTGGACATACTTGCTCCTGAAATTTCGGTCAATGCTGCAGAGAAGGTACATCTGGTAGCTTACGGCGGCCAGCAAATCAATACAGAGGGTACTGCAGTTCTGAATTGTACCCATGGTCAATTCAAATTTCATGTAGTTAACCGTGATGTTAAGCCACTATTGGGTTTACAGGACAGTGTTGCTGTTGGTCTCATACGACTGGGACCTGACGTCCATGTGCTACAGCCTTAAGTACCTGAACTAATTGAGTACAGTGACCTTTTTGACTGTGTCACCATCGGGAAACTGCCAGTTGTGTACCACATGAGATTGGACAGTACTGTGCAGCCCACCACATGCATGCCTAGGAAAGTGCCCATAGCCATGAAGGAGAAAGTGAAGGCAGAGCTTGACCGCATGACTGAATTAGGTGTCATCATACCAGAAAACGAAGCAACTGAGTGGGTGTCTGCTATGGTTGCTGCCAGGAAGCGTGATGGTTCTGTCAAAATCTGCATAGACCCAGTCCACCTGAACCAGGCTTTACCCGACCTCGTCACCCCCTGAAAATCATTGATCAGATCATTGCGGATATGCCAGGTGCAAAAGTGTTCAGTACTCTTGATGCAGAGTGTGGCTTCTGGCAAATTCCTTTAGATGAAGCATCATCTAAACTGACCACCTTTATGACCCCTCATGGACGATACCGGTTCTTAAGGATGCCATATGGCATCTCCACAGGAAGTGAGGTTTTTCAGCGTTGCATAAAGCAGTTGTTCGCTGGACAACCCTGCGAAATAGTGGTGGACGACATTGTCATCTGTGGCCGCACACAAGCCTTATGTCACCCGGTCAGGGAGAATTAGTCATCCCAACCAACACTATCAGGACTACATAGTATCATAAGTTAACATATTAAACCTCATTAAATGAATAAACATATAAGCACTTGGTGTAAATAATCTACCAGTTCTTTGGCATTCCTGGTAATTGTTAAACTGTGAATTCCCGTCATGTCTTACATCATCATTGTTGGGTTGATGTTATCTTTTAAGAGTTTTCTTTCTAACCCTCACTTTACAGTAATGCTTGGTTCTCTGTTCTACAAAAGAGAGGATGTAGAGTTGTTAGGTTTGTCCTTACGGTTAATAAATATGACGTAGGGGGGTGCGACATCTGGTGGAGGTTAGGTGAAAAAGAGTTCTTAAAGAAGTTACTGTTCGCTCTTAATAAAGGTGTCTGTAACCTTATTAAAACCATTCTACACTTCCTTTTGTCATTTTGTTGCAGCCTATCAAAGACTTGCTGATCAAGTTTTCTAGACTAGATATCAGACCATGTGAGCGGAGTGGAGGCTGTTGGCTCTGCCCGCTTCTCCGCTCTAATTCGCACTAAGCTGCTCTGCTCAACATCGCTCCACTAAAATTTCCTCCTGCTCCAGTCAAATCGCTCTACGCTTGCTCCAATTTAAGAGAGGGACAAATTATCTGCATGCCTAACAAATATGAAGGTAAAACAGTAGCAAAACTCGAGAGCTTGCTAATTTGAATGTGAGAACTTGTAAAATTAATATTTGTATTTGTAAGTTGAAATTTATACTCACACTCACAATGTGAAAAGCTGCATCTATCGATTTGCACACACAGACAATACTCAGAACACCTGTGTTTTGAATTTGAAGTTGCAGATTAATAGTTACAAATGTGTAAAGTGTCATTCACATAAACAAAATGACAGGCACAATTGTGTACTACACATTTATCTTTGCGCTTTACTTCAGTTTCGCTGTACAACCACAAGTCGGCACTCACAACCTCTCAGATCTGGCAGTACAACCTCAAATCCTAGCGCTTTGGCTTTTGCTACGCCTTCTGCGATATTCCTGTAGCAAAACTCACTCGTGCACTTGTAAATGCAAACTTGAGAGAGCAGAGTCGGGGGCGGGGCTGGGGTGGGAATTAAGTCATTTTATTGGTCGATGCCTCACCAATGAACAACGCCAGCCACAATGCAAACATTTGTATGCATATGTATCAGCTATTTTTTTTAAACGCTTGGAATTTTTTTTTATGAAATATCATTAGTTTTACTGGTTTTTATATATCAGTAAAAGCGCAGCAATGTCGTTACTACACAGAGCAGCTCGCGCCGTTTCGGTGGTGGTGGTGGTCGTCGTCGTTGTCGATCGATCGCGATGGCTGAATCGAACAATCCGAGGGTAAGTTTTTATTTTTTAATATTTTTCTACACATTCAGTATTGTTAGTCAGAGACTGTTATATATAACTGCAAAGTTAAAATATATAAGTGCCTTCTCATGTATTTTTAGTTAATTAAATTGTTAAATAAATGTACATAGTACAATAATTGCCTAAATGTTTATTATGTTTATGAAAATGACAGTTTTTACAATGCATTAAGCATGTTTTTCAAGATAACATGAAAGATTCTGAAAAATAAGAAAAATATCTGCATTTTAATGATCAGTGTTTTTAAACATCCCACCGTGAGTACTGATAAAAAAACAAGATAAGATACTTCGTGACTAATCTTTTTGTAATAGAATCATTACACTGTACCATTCGTGTGGGGTGGGTCACTTCTTGCTAATAATTAAATTTATTATTATTGTTGTTGTTGCATTTAATGTGAATGCACTTATGTTTTCTTTTTACAGGAGCAGAATTCAGAAATAGAAAGTGCTGTAAGGAATCTGCTTAGCTGCATCCAAAAGCATAGCAATCCTCAAGCACAGGGGAATTCCAACAGTTCTCCCACCGTGGCACCTCAACCTGGTACCACTGCTTCCTTTGGGGTTGTCAGTAGGCCAAACATAGTTCAACAAGAAATGCAAAGGTAAGGAATTGTGTACCCAAAGCCCCCTTCTTAGTCAAGTGTTCATATTTATATACTTTTTTTTAATTATGGGGAAAATTTTAATATTTTTATATATTTGTGTTCTATCACATGCAAGGTTGCAATTCAAGGTTCAGTAATGTATTTTTATTTCTGTTGATAAGCAATCTGTTGGTGTGATGTGGTAAAGATGTAATCTAGATGTAAAGCTAGTAATCAATAGTTGCAGGAAAGAACCCCATTAGGGCCCATCCATGATCTGTCATCAAAAGACAAATTCAGTGTTTGCAAACAAAATAAGAATAAAAATAAGTAGAAAAATTCTTTAGTTAACTCATATTTCTTTCATGTTCTTCATATTGACATGAAACATGTAGTACTTTTTAAAACAATGTATATTTGTACAACTCTTAATATTATAATGAAGAGAGTTCCACAATCGTATGCCCATAACCGTTGGACTCAGTCTTTGTGTAATCCTAGCAAACTGATGCTTAAAATATTTCTGCTATCCTCACCTCCTAAACACATTGAAAATAATCTTTGTAACTTGAGGCAATATATTATTTTTAGCCTTAAACATATTTAGTAATGTCCGTAATTTCACTAAATCTTCTAATTTCAATAGTTTCGATTTTACAATTTATTTGTATGTTCTCTATATTGAACATTATGAATCATTCGTATCACTTTCTTCTGTAATAAGTATAGAGGTTTTATAGTATTCATATATGTATTCCCCCAAACTTCCACACAATAACAGATACGAAAAAAAACAATGAAAATTTTAAAATGCCCATTGCCTTGTCTAAGAAATCTGTAACATTTCCCAAAAAAATGTTTTTGACCATCTTTTTTCTAATATACTCAATATGAGATTTTTAAGCAACAACGGACAGGTTTGGCAATGGCATTCCACACAAAAATAAGCTTAAAAATAAAGGAATCAGTGGGCTTAATAGCCTAAAGAATATACAAGCTAAGCATCCACGTTTTCAATTCCTCAATTGTTTTCTGTTGATGGTGCTGCTGCATCTCTATAAAATAAAATCTCACTGACAGCGTTACGTGAAATTTAAAAAATCCTATTAAACCTATTTTGACTGACAAAAGAATTTGATTACCAAAAATTTCTTTATAGGCCTTTATACTTTATATGCTACAACCATATACACATTGCTCAGGTGTTTTGCTCTGGCTTCTGCCTGTTCGCGTAGCACACTCTCGTTTGAGAAAAGTGAATTAAAAAGTGAATCTTTACTCACTGAAACAGTTTCACCACATTGTTCTTGCTCTACATTATTGCCATCTATACGTTTGATAAGAATAGTACACTTGCATGATTTATCAGTTTCCTTTGTGACTTTGCGAATTCCATCTCGGCCAATTTGTGTAACAGTCTTGATAATTGTACAGATTAATTCTGGGTAGATTTGGGCACGCCTCAGAATCGTAAAGGGTATCGGAACGAAATTGGAGCGAGACAGAGCGACCGCTCCAGCCTTAATTAAAAAACCGCTCCGCGCTCTGACTACATTCCGCCCGCTCTGCTCCATATATATGTGTAAGGGATAAAACGTTCCCTAATTATGCAGGTTTGTCACTTGGCTAAACTGGGCCCCAGATATAAGAAATCGCTCACAACAGAAGTAAGGAAATAAGCATTTATTATTAGAATTCCACAGTTCAGTGTCCCTGCCCCATGAAGTAAGCAGAGCGCCAGGCAACACCGCAACCCCCACACAATGCTCTAACCACAGCAATCTCTAAAACACTTTAGAATATTTCACAATCACTAAAACACACTGTTAGAATTCACACGTGTATAAATAAAAAGGCCTGGACAGCTCACATCCGTAACCAGGGTCAGGAATACAAGTTAACATGTGGTTCCTCCTAAAACAAATACACAAACAAAAGAAAGAAATCAATTCACATTAAACAATCTTTACATTAACTAGTCGGGGGAAGACATCGCAATTCCCCGAAAACACATAAACTAATAACCCCACTTCTAGCAGGAAACACAAACCTTTCCCGTGGCGCCTGGAGTCCATGCCGCTGCCACCGAACGCCGACTTGCGCCGCTAACTTCCTAACCCGGTACCCCCCGCCAGTACTCGCCTTATATCATCACAATGCGGTAATCTCCCCAAGATACGCTCCTTCACATATGACAGCTGCAGCGTGGATTCCAAGCACCACCGAGCATAGGGAGGCCTCCCTGCTCTTCTATCGCTGGTATTTTATAGCCTCCATACTTCCGCCTCACAGGTGTTTCCTATGAAACCTTACCTGTCACCATGAACATCCCCGCCTACATATGTGCTTTTCAAGCAGCGCAGGCGAGCGCAATCATCTCGGATGAATGGATCCAGCTAGATTAATCTACTACACAGCTGCGTTTGAAAAACCGATTTATCCCGGATGAGGCATCTAATCTAGAGGCGATCCTGGGTGCCGAAATTGCCATCTCTAATTTAATCTGCGATCAGTTTCTTAATTTTAAAAACCATATAAATTACAATCTCTGTAGACTTCCCATCTAAACTGGAAAAGAGTTCATTGCAAGTTTGTTCTTAATAAAATGATTTTGGTTGGAATTACTCCTTTAAAAGTCTCCAGTTGTCCGTTTTAGCAGCTATCAGACTAATACAGGAGACAGTGTCTGAGCAGATGTTGTCCCTATAATAAGTAAAATTTGACAAGGCTGGGCTTAATTGTTCAAGACAATACATACATGTGGCGCACCTAGAAAAAAAACATTAAATAAATAAAGTAAATAAATAAATAATTAAAAACAGGGTTGAAACAAGCTATTATTTATTCTTAAAACAGCTATTATCACTGT